TCGCTGGACTCCCACGTAGTCGACCGTGGTTCGCGTCCTGGACCCAGTGGCTTAAACTCACACCGGGTGCGTGTGCGTGTGTGCCCAAGATCCCGAGAAGAGAATAGAGGAGAAGGGATCGCAGTGTGGCCATCTTCCCTGGGGGGTGATTTCTCGCTTTCTATCTCTCTGTCTCTCTCTGTCTTTCTGGCGAGCGCACGTGTCCTATAGCAAAAACCTCTCCAAAAAAATAAAAAAAGAAAAAAAAGAAAAAAAAAAAAGTGAGAAATCACTCTCCCACCTCGGAGAGGTATTGGGTCATGTCACAGTCTCTTCTCCTTAATTCTCCTCTCAGGATTTTGGGCATGCATGACTGGCATATTTTCTAACACATCAGGTGCAGGACTTGAACCATGTAGTCAGCCCATGTGATTCCTGCGGCTTTAACTACCACATCTTTGGCTGGCCCCAGAAACCATATTCTTAATACAAATTTTACATGGAAATAAAATGTGTGGGCCTAGTGTCAGGTTCACTTAAGTGACACCATCTTTTTCCTTATGGCAGTAATCTGTGGGTCTCTTTCTTTTGTGCTCTGAAACAGCTTTAAACCCCCTCTCTCCATCTACTCTTGGAAAAGAGTCTGAGTTTTATCTCTAGCAAGCACTCCCCATAGCACTAGGAATAATGATGCAGAGTAGGCGCTCATGGATGGCTCACATTCATGAGCATTTATTGAGCCCTTACTGTGTGCCAGGCAGCAAGTAAAGCCCTTTTCATGCATTTTTCCCATTTATTCTTACAACGAACTCAGAAGAAAGGCACCCTGCCTCCCATTCCACCTAGTACCCATTTTAAGGATAAAATAGGTTCGGAGAAGTTACTAATTTGCTCAAAATCGCACAGCTAAATTATATTTAAATATTCATCCTTAAAACTACCAGGGAATACTTTCTAAGGTTAGTTCAGTGCTCAGGAAATAGAACTTATGGGGCCATAGCTAACTAAGCTAGCAGGGGCAGATCTGGGCAGAGAGGTGCAGAGGTCATGTCAGTGAGTCACCCTCTTGGGACCTCTGTCGTTCAGTTGACCACGTGGTGCCTGAGCCTGAGTCCAGCCTGACTGAGGCCTATGAGAAGTGGCGAGAGTGGGCCGACGGGAAGAGCTGCTGTGACTATGCCTTGCATGTGGACATCACCCACTGGAGCGACAGCGTCAAGCAGGAAGTGCAGAGCCTCATCAAGGACAAAGGTGAGGCCCAAACTCCTCCTCCCTCCATTGGCTTCTCCTTGTCTAGCCTTCCCAAACCATCTGCTCATTTGAGTCACTATGTTCCAGGCACTTCATTTATGGAGTCTTATTCTTTACAGGATTCCCACGAGGTGGGAGTTGTTATTCCCACCTTCTGGATGGGAAACCCAAGGCTCAGAATGAGTAGCCCAAGATCACAGAGTTAGTAAGCATTAGATCGATCCAAAATCCATGCTCTTCACCTCCAGGTAGTACTGTCAGTTTTCAGAGGAAGAAACCGAGGTTAGGAGAGCTTAACTTATCTTACATAAGGTCGTGTGGACAGTAAAATATGGATTTTATAACTGCTATCATTTTTATTTCAGAGAGAAAACCATTACTATTGTGTAACAGTGGCTTTCTCAGAAAAGGCTAAGACATTTCTGGGAGCAAAGATGTGATGGTACTCAGGCTTCTAGGCCAGGAGCTTAGGGTGTGAAAACGTTTGTGTGTGTGTGTGTGTATGTGTGTGTGTCTCAGTGAGTACACAATTTAGGTTTTCATTATCATCTTAGATTCTTCTGTCCTCTGCTGTTTTCTGCATTTTGATCACCAGATGTTTCACACGCAGCTCCTCTGTATGGGCACGTATACATGCAATATACTCGGCTTTGTGCGGTAGCCTAGGAAACTTAGGGAAGTATAAATAAGGGCTTTGATCATATTGTTGGGACCATCATGAGTTATTTTTCTATGCTTTTCTATGCAAAACATGTGTCGTGACTTTCCTGACAACCCAATGCTAGGCATTCAAGTCAAAGAAAGCAGGCCCATAAAGAGCAATAGAATGCCCCATGATGATGATGCCCCACTGTTATCAAATGAGTGTTCAGTCCAGACACAAATGCTAAGAATCCAGTTGGGAAAAAAATGTGCTTTGGTTGGGGAGGAAGGGATGACCCCCAGAGAAGCCATGTCTCTTTCTATCCCTCTCTACCCCACAAGCCCTGCCCAACCTCAGTGACAGAGTATAAAATGAGCCCCTTCCTTTCTGTGTCTCCTTTTACCCTGAACTTCTTAACTAGGGCAGAAAATTGAATGGCTTTAACACCCACTTTCCTACCAAAAAGCCTGGGTCATTCCCTAGATGATGCAGAGGCTTCTGGGAAGGATAGTGTTGGGGAAAAAACTGCCCAGAGCTGAACCACTCTGGGTAGAGAAAGTTCTCAAATTACAACCCACTTTTGGCCTGGAACATTGTGGGCTGAGATGGCCCTAATGGTTGGAGACCAAAATTATTGTCCTTTCCCCAAAATGATTCTGTGCTCCCCAGTCCCACCTATTTCTGTAAAGCGCTATATTAATAGTTTATTTGAGGTGGAAATTAAATCACTGTTTCCTCATAACCCTTCCACTTAGATATTTAAGCACAAGGGAATCTTGTTGCCTGCCTATTGACTCTATTAGTTCTAGGAGGACAGGGTCTGGTATGTCAGATCTCCTCTCAAAGCCAACACCCTGCATAGGCCTAGGATTGAGCAGGCATTCATCAAATACTGGAAAATCCACTCCCGGGGATCCACTGATGGAGACCAACTATGTGGCAGGCCTGAAGCTAAGATTTCTGCATGTGCTGTGTACTTGACCTTTCACATCTACGTTATGTAGTATTATCTTCCCGTTGTACACGTGTGGAAACCAGGCCCAGAGAGGTTAAGTATTGCAAGCGCATTGCACCAGTACGTGGTGGATTCCAGGTGGTACAAACCCCTGGTATTGGCACACAATTAGTGTACTTTCAGTGATTTTTAATGATATTTACTACCTCAAGCAATATCAGCGCTTTCTGACCTCCAGGACATGGGAATGCCAGAAGGGGTGATGAAAAAGAGATACAGAGGAGACCATTCTGCTATGATGTAGGAATTATTGATTTTTTTTTTTTTAAGATGGAGATGGGAATAGAAAAATGCTCCTGGAGAATGCAAAGTATCTACTTTCCTTTGGACAGGAGCCTGAGTAATGCATTTGGGTCCCATGGGCAGAGAGAGAGGTGGGAGCAAAGGGTGGGACATGTTGGGATAACATGATCTTTCTTTCCTCTTCTTTCTCTCCTGCAGGGGTTAACTCCTTCATGGTTTACATGGCCTACAAGGATTTGTATCAAGTGTCCAACACAGAGGTAACCACCCATTTGCTGTGTGGTGTGGGGTATCTCAATGGGTTTCCTAGTATTGCTGGTGACTTTGGCCCTTGCCATCTGATTCACCATGGGACCATGGTCACTATGGGAGATGGCTGGGCCAGAGTGTTTTCTGAAGCCTTAGCACTCTGTGCTGCATTTAAATAAGGTAATAGGCAGGAAGCCCATTGCAAGTGCAGACAGGGAGCTCGACTTTCCACTGACTATAGCCTTCTCAAAGCACTGGAGGAAGGGCATTCTTAAATCTCCATCTAGTGAACAAGCTCCAGACTCCTCCTAAGCTCTGTGAAAGAGTGAGATTCTTCAGTGGGCAGGGCTAGGAATGGCTTCTTGTGTTTAGAGTAATGGTATCAGCTTGTTTCTCACTCTCAACCTTCCTAGGAAAAACACAGCACGTGTGTTTTAGATTAGCATCAAGTTTTCAGAGGAAATACAAGACATTAACTTCCACACCTCCTAGTTAGGAAGTGAAGGTAGGTCTACCTTGAGAAGTTAAGAGAGAGGGGCTTCAACTTTGGTGTTAACCCCTGACTTTCTGGAACCTTTGCTGAGAAGGATCATGAAGCTCTTTCTCAGCTCAATGGGAAGTCATTCCATTCGAAATGTGTGCCAGAGACAGAGGGGTTGGTAGCCCTCTGTTACAAGTTTGCCCTATCTGCCTCGAGCCATGACGGGTTCTTTGCATAGACAGTTTCCTAGAATTTCTTTACACTAGCTCTCTTTGTTCACTCACATATTAGTCTGTATTTCTGTCCTCATTACATATTTCCTATAATTTATTCCATTTGTTTTAGTTCTGGCTCTAGTCATTGAACTTTACATGAGGTTTCTAAGACTGGCTTGTGAAGGTGACGAAGATACATTTCTGTTTCAGCTCTACGAGATCTTCACCTGCCTGGGAGAGCTGGGAGCCATTGCTCAAGTCCATGCTGAGAATGGGGATATCATTGCCCAGGTAATGCCACGGGTCCCTGGGGTGCACTTTTGTCATGGGCTCAGGAATGCATCCCGTGTGTTACTCATTTCTTCAGTGCTGCTCGAGCTCTGCTATGTACTCTCTCTATGTACTCTGCTAAAGATGGAGCTGCTGCAAAGGAAAAAGAGAGGAATGCAGACAAGCAAGGAAAAGCTAGGAGATGCTGTGAAACAAGAAGAGGCTGGCTGTTCTAGAGAACCAGAAAAGGCATCCTGGAAGAGGGAGTTTTCAAACTGGGCCATTTAGTGAGAGAACATTGCTGGTTCTCTTCTGAAAAGGAGTTAAAGCTGTGTAACTTCTCTGTCCTAAAGAAAACTCTAAAGAAAATGGCAGCATTTCTCAGAAGCCAGAAATCCAATCCAGATCTGCAGAGCTCACAGCCTTAGATAATAAAGAATTCAGGTCTGTGGGGATCAGACATCCCACCGGTTTCCTAGAAAACAAATTGAGAAATTCGAG